CCAAACACACCAATTGGCGCTGACCTACACTCAGATTACCGCCCCCTTCGCTCAGTAGGCCGTCCAGCTGTCCGGGCAGGTCCTGAACGGCGTGTCGGAGCTGCACCTCCTCTAAGGCACTCCATATCGAGTGATCCGTGTATTCCCCAAAAGGGTCCAAATTTCTGCGCACCTGACCCTTGAAGACCACCGGATCCTGAGGTATGATTGAGATGTTGCGCCTCAAGTCATGCAAAGCTATCGATTTGGTGTCCACGCCGTCCACCACTACCTCACCCCTGAGCTCCACCATCCGGAACAGGGCTGATATGATGGACGACTTGCCGGCACCGGTACGTCCGACTATACCTATCTTCTCGCCACTCTTCACACGACAGCACAGGTTCTTCAGCACCGGTTTGGTTGAGCCCTCGTATACCAGAGACATATTCCTCAGCTCTATCTCACCCATAGATGGCCAGTCAGGTGGGGGTCGATGTCTTTCATCCGAGTCTAACAGCGCCTCCTGTGGTAGTCTCTGATATTCAACGATACGCTCGACTGAAGTCATGTGATTTTCAAACTCAGTCCACTGTCTGACCCCCCATTGAGTCGCTCCCGCCATCATTATGGCTAACAATATATGAATGAAAAGATCAAACAAAGGTGGTGGTGGTCGACCACGTGGTCGACCGCATTAGCGCCGTCACAAACAGGGCCCCAATGAGTCCCGAGTACACGTAGACGTAATAGTTTTGTGTATCCTGGTCAATTGCATTAGCCTTTTGACTTTTGTCAGTCCTGTATACAAACAATAATTTACACGTACAATTTTATGATATATTTCTAATATTAGCTCAATAAAGTGTTTAAAACCTAAATTAACTTAAATAAACTCCACTGGATTAACTATAATTTATAATTTTTGCAAATTTATTAATATTACAGTCAGCGTACTTCATATTTACAAATTGTAAATGACAATGCATACACCGGCACCGGTAGTGTTTTCTCTAAGTACAATTAATAGCTGGTACAATTAATGGTAGTCCTTTCAAATTTGACCCGAAAAATCGGGAGTTTTCGGGAGTGAACGGGAGTCCCGTTACAAATGATTCGGGGGGACCGCTCCCGCTCACTCCCGTCCACTCCCGATTCACTGTTTTATGTATGTTTAGCACATATATTATACATATAAATTTCAAATAAATTAACTTTTAAGCCCACAGTATCATTGAAATATTAGGTTATAAAAATCCCCAAAATAGTGTTTAATAATAATTTTAAAATTTTTAACTATTCAAAACACTAGTATTTTCTGATTTAAGTGTGACCAAGATTCGTATTGAAAACATTTTTATTTATCAAACAGCAAAATAATATTTAAATGATTAAAATACAAATTCGTAAGAGATTTTTAAACATACAATAAAAATATTTGAGAAAGTAATAGTCATATATAAAAAGCTAAGTAATATTCATGGGGATTTAACTAAATACTACTTTAATCTTTAATGTACTCTATAAACTTTAAAATACTAGTGTTGTGTATACCCTTGTTAAATGTCAAATGCATACATCACTAATTGGTTTCTGGAAACCATGTCTGTGCGTCTAAGATCTACAGTATATATAAGTCAAAATGACCAAGTACAATATATTTGTCATACAGGATATGTGATGTTATTTAGTATTGACCTACTGTAATACAAAATAATATACATGCTTAAACTCCCTTACCATTTAGTTAGCCATAAATCGGAGTAATTAACTATAACCTGAAATACCAGTGTCGAGAACAGGGTAATCGTGAACAGTATGGGTCCGGCACCGGCCTTCACGTATTCATAGTAGACGTGTCCCCCAATAGAGCCCACCTCCCGGTTCTCCTTCTGAATCTTGGGCTCATGTGAATAGTCCTCCTCATCGCCCATACTCTTGGAAACCTCGACGTTCTCGGTCTGAACCACGGATGTGCTCCGGGAGTACCTCCCGGTCCTGTCGTTGATCGACCCCTTCAGGATGGTCTCCGTGGGGTTAACCGTCTGTTTGGTGTCATAGCTATTCTGGGAAAACGATCTCATTGTGAGCTCCCGTTCCTGTTTGTTGTGTTCGGTCTTCCCCTCCAAATCGTTCAGTATAGCCATGAAGTCCATTCTCTGGGACTGGAGCTCGTCGTATGAGCCCAACCCCAGGCACCGGCCCTCTGGGCTTAAGACCAGTATTTGTGTGGCTTTTCGTATGAATTGGATTTGATGGGTGACCAGTATCCGGATTTTGTCCGACAAGTACTCCACTATACACCTGATGGAAAGGCATGTTAGAGGACTGGTAGGTGTGTCTCATATGACTATTAATGGCATTACTTATGGAATATATGTGCGCAACAGAGGTGTCGACAGCACTCAACGGGTCGTCCATTAGTACGATATCTGAGTTGCGATACAAAGCTCTGCAAAGAATGCATTGATAATAGATATTGAAATAAAGTGTTAATAATGATTGAATTTAAATGAAAAGTTAAGCTCTGCAAAGAATGCATTGTTTTAGTCAATAGGACTGTCGCATAGACTACCGGTGCCGTGAATGCCATACCGGGCCAAAGTGATCCTAGCCTTCTGTCCACCCGATAGTATGACTCCTTTCTCTCCAACTAATGTCTTGTCTCCGAAGGGGAATACCTGGAGATCCCTTTCCAGAGCACAGACATGGACTACCCGTCTATGCCGGTGCTCATCGTATTCACTGCCAAACAGTATGTTATTTCTGATGCTATTATTGAAACTCCATGCCTCCTGAGAGGCATAACTAATGGTGCCTACAGTTTGTATACTTCCCTCGAGCACCGGTAGCTCATTAAGTATAGACATGATTAGTGAACTCTATACAAATAATGTATAAAAAAGTTTAGTTGACATCAAAGCAAACAAACAATACATTCATAGCGCGCTTAACTTTTCATTTAAATTCAATCATTATTAACACTTTATTTCAATATCTATTACCATCTCTTAAGCCCTGATGAAGATCTCAGTGTAGATCGAAAACGTTTGGTTGATCTCTTATTTTTTGATACCTTTCACTGATTATTAAAATAGTTATTGAAAACAATCCCTTAATTATAAACGCAATTCAGTGTGAAATTAAACAAATAGTTATGTCAATCGAAATGATTTCAAACCACAGAGATATTGAAAACAAATACCAAAACCAAGTGTTAAAAGAAGTAAAAGATTATGAAAAGTGTTTAAAACGAAAAGGAGTTTTAATTAATAAAAAAGTATTCTTAAAGAGATGTTTGGACTCAAAAGTTTTGCCCAAAATCTTCAGACCAAAGCTGAATGGGATTTACAGTCAAAATATCGACAAAATATTAAGAAAATGTGGATTAATTGCAATAAAAGATGTGATTAATAGTGAACTCAAACCCAACATCGGAAAGACTTTTAGAGAAATTGATGTTAAAAAGCAAATGATATTAAGGAAAGTGACGATTGAAGACTTCAATATTATTAATACATATAGGGTGTCCCATCGTATCAGTACGACTTGTAAATTAAATTAAAAATATTTACAATTATATTTTACTAACAAAAACTATACCAAAATGTTGGAAATNTTATATTTTACTAACAAAAACTATACCAAAATGTTGGAAATTTATTAAAATTTTATGTGAGATTCATAAAATGTTCACCAAATGCCTACCCTGGTCATAATTATAGTTTTACTGCATGCATGTCTGTTTTTTATGCAAAAAAATCGTTATTTTCTTAGAGCGCTATGACTACAAAGCATTGATGCGAGCATTCGGTGACAGTTGTACATTAGTTTTACTATGGTATTACGCTAAACAGACATGCATGCGGTAAAACTAAAATTATGACCAGGGTAGACATTTGGTGAATATTTTATGAATTGCACATAAAATTTTAATAGATTTCCAACATTTTGGTATAGTTTTTGTTAGTAAAATATAATTGTAAATATTTTTAATTTAATTTACAAGTCGTACTGATACGATGGGACACCCGATATTTTGAAAAATCAATCAAAGACTTAGACAAACAGTTATGAACTAAACATCAAAAAGCGTCGGTTAATAAACAACACAAACATACCTTTCCAGACCCTACCGGTCCAATGACCACCATTAATTCTCCAGGTTTTAAATTAAATGAAATGTTTTGAATGGTTGCAAAGGGACTGTCCTGATCAAAATCATAAATATTAGCAAGCATGAAAATCAAAATGTTTACTATATTTCATACTTCACTCCATTTGGCCGATATATTATTGACAAAAACTTTTGGTTTTGCAATTTTCTTAGGAGAGGCAATTAAATTACCAAAACAATTGGTGTTATGTGTTTTAGGCTCCATTTCCCCCAATTCCAAGAATGTCTAGAAAATATTTGATGTATCCTAATTAATTAATATAGGTATAACTGAAATATATTCTCGTAATTAAATAAATAACTAATTAAATTAATTTAGGTATAATACAATCACTGTACTATTATTGGTTTTATTAAGCTTGTTCATTGATTATATAACTAGTATATACAGTAGTTTATGTTCAAGTATTGATATTTTTAGTAACAAGCTTAAAATGTGTATTACAGTTTGTATTGTTTATAAACTAATACCTGGATGCGATGGCACGACACACAGAGTTGAGCCCATTGGGCGATGGCGTTCGGGAACATTATCGTCAGAGGGCTTCGGATTGTGTTGAAGAGAGACATTGTGATGAACACGGCTTTAGCTGTCAGTGGGTTTCCGGTCAATACATATGCGATAAAACACGCGAACAGTAATATACGTGAGGCCACTGAATATACCGACAAATTAATAGCCTTTAGAAAACAGGCCATTTGTATGCCACGGACCTCATTCCTATAGTAAATATCCTTGGTTACTCATTAATAATAGTCATTCATTCAGGGGTTTTCAACTTTCTACTCGATTTCAAAGTGTATTCAGTTTTAAAAACTATTATAAGTTTTCCATAAAAGTTTTCAAAGGTTATTAAGTATTACTATAATATAATAAAAGCACCAGGGACATACTTTCTAGCAGTGGCCATCAGTTGGGCAAAGGACTGCTCCCAGGCATACATTTTGATGACTCGCATCCCCGATATAATCTCATTCATGAGTCGCAGTCGACTGTCCGTTAACTGAGCGGTCATTAGCCTATTATTTGAACATAAAACCAATGACTACACCAAACATACTGACCACCAGTTATCACAACACCATTCATACCTGACTTTCGAGAAAAGTTTGCCCATAAATGCCTGAAAGGGTAGGAACAGTAGCAATAGGGCCACACATGCGAAGCAATAGTAACTGATCGCCGTATATATGATATATACGGCGATCCCTGTCTGTATGGGCGCTACGAATAAATAGCAGACATCTATTGAAAACTGTATTTAAAAATCATAAACCATTAATAAAATGCATACACTAATAGTGCCACAAATATAGCCCATACCACATCAAATCTGTTAACATCATTGGACATTAGGTTCACAATGTGGCCCACCGTCGTTTTGGCCAGGGATGCCCGGCTCAGCCGAAGCGACTAATTGCAAAACACATGTAAAATGATCTCGACCAATTACCAATTACACCAAATTGTATACCTTTTTATAGATAAGAGTACAGGAGGCGGCGCGTAACCTCATTCCCATTTGCGTGACTAACATAAGGCCCGAATGGAAGAGCCATATGAATAGGGCTGAACTAAAACATAGGCCCCCGGCGACCACGCATGCGTGCTCGAAGGTCAGATTTTCTACCTTGCTAAAATAATCGATCACTATGCCCAGTAACAGGGGTTGACTCATGCGTACAACGCATTCCTAATTATCATAAAATGTTTTTAACATTTTACTTAATTTATTCATATTTATTGAGCAAGGTTGTTTTTATAATTATTTCAAATTATAGGCTTACCCCCAATATAAATATAGACAGGGGAAGTATATAGGACTTCCCGAATGCCATAACTACTGCCCTCCAGAATTTAGGCGACTTTTTTCGACGTTCATTATTCCAGTGCCTGAAATGAGCCACAATTTAGTGTACCTCTAATCAGCCCTCCCTCCCATCCTTCGCTCTATATTATAATTAATTTATGAGACTCCATGAGCCCATACATACTTTTCCAGCTCCTGGACAATACGTTGTGACTCGTCGTGTCGGGAGCACCGGAACAGGTCGTCCACAACGAGACCATTCTTACGCCAACCCGTCATAAACACCGGGAATCCCCATCTGTTTGATAATAATTGTCAAAACAGTACTGAACAGTTTTATTCAATAATAAAATGAATCATTAGTTAATAAAAATAGTTTTAATATATAAGTCAATATGAATTATAACTGACCACTACTGGTCATTATAACATAGCATTAATCAGTTTAAACATGTTCAAAACCATTTAACAAGTGAAAAATATTTTTTGAAAAATATTCGTATTATCCGACCGGGACTTCCCATTTATTTTAGCACCCTCATCCATTATTAATTTTAAAATTATTTTAAAATATGTATATTTATAGATTAAAATAAATTACTATTGAAATATTTAATTTTGGATATTTTTATATTTTATTAACTAATTCTACATAAACTCAATTGACAACAACGCTTATTAATATATAATTTAATACCTAATGAAATTATATACCTTATCATATAATATTGCGGTACGCAGCCGCTGGCGCCGGCCTCGCGACCACCCGTCCGCCGCATCCCGGCCTAGTCTATCTTTGAGCTGTGCTATTCTAGTATGATTTAAGGGGACCCCTTTTGAGGGAGGCCCGACTCAGGGCTACGCACTACACTACTCGACTATCGAACATGATCTCCTGGGATCTACTAACGAGTAAGCAATGAAAGTTACTCTTACCGTTGGGCTGACTTCGTTGTCTTCACGGGATCCACTGTCGGCGTAGCCAATGGTGGTAGGTGGTGTCGGTCCGGCTTCTCTCCCCCTACTCGTTTACCTCTGGAGTCCTGACTCGGGCTCCACAAGAATCGGGACAATTGTCGTAGATAATGTTTTATTGAGACTTTTAGTTACGATTAAAATACAGTAGATTAAGAGATGTGAACAATAGTGTAGTGATTTAGGTTTGGTTTGATGTCGAGTAAGAATTCTCTAGATAAGATGTTTAAAAGTGACGGGACTCTGTTACGAGTTTAGTCGAGCAGAGTGACTACTACTAGAGACTTGTAAGGAGAGAAGACACTTAGGCGATCGGCCTACTGCGTTGCGGCAATCTCCTGATACTGCAGAGCTCTTGCTATTGGCTGATAGCAAGAAGTCTCGGATGATCTCTATGCCTTGGCTACCGAGCTGGTAAGAGCGTTCACTAGATGTCAACTCGTAGTTCATTCAGTGCATTTCTGTTTCTATTTTTGGATGATTAACGACTGCTGTTTTATGTAGGGGTCGACAGGACCTTTAGCCAGCCCTGCCCTGTCGATTTTACCACTACTACACGTGCCTATGTGAGTTCCATCTAGTGCTACTAAGACGTAGTGGAAGGGCACCGATAGATTGCGAACAACAGAGCCGTTCTGCTGCTTACGTGTCACAGCCCGCGCATACGGTGGGTTAGTACAAAAGTTCTATATAGCACTTTCATTTAATCAGTACTGCTTGACTTGAACAGTTGTGTTTTTGAGTACGATTTGTGTTCTAATAGTAAACTGTGTGCACTGTGTCCTACGCCATTACTAGTTGCGACTCAAAAGATTAGGGCGTTGCCCGCCAGGATCGGAGACTGTCGGGTTTACAGATGGAACCGACGGGTAAGCACTTAACCGAGTATAACACCTAGGTGCTTAAAGGGGATAATCGCCTACTGCTGTAAGGCTATAGCAGATGTAGCGGTCTGCCTTGAGATTGGGTCGCATGCCGCTTCGGTGCCCATAGAAGGGGTGGTGTTACGGGATTTGGGTAGGAAGGGGGTATCGGGTAGGGGTACCCCCGTATTAAACACGTGGGTACTACAATATCTATTAATATAGGGGTTGACTTATATACCATACGTGCCATATATATAAATTAAATAAATGGATTTGAATTATTGCTTCAAATGTACGGAAAGACATTGAAGTCAATGGAAGTATGGATTAAGAAAGATATAACCGAAACCATTGTCTACAGAATAACCCATGTTTTGTCACAAATGAGTGGATTAATGGTGTTAAGCATTAGACTAGATGACAACTGGAGTCAATATGTCACTACTTTAGGCTTATCCTCACTGTTGGCACCATTGGGTCCCATATTGGGTCCACAACTCAAGAATCTACACATTTATTACTCCTTAATGTGAGACATGAATGAAATCATTTCAGTCATTAATACACACTTTAAGCAATTAAGACGTCTATATTTGAGCGGGCGTTCAGATCACGTTATAATAGACAGCACGTCATTGAATTGATTAAAGAGATTAAGACATTTGACTTTAGATATTGGGACAGAGTTTTGGGGATTTGATATAACAGTAAACTCCGAGATTTACATTTCTAACGATTTTGTCAAAAATATTTGCCATAATTTTCCAAAACTTCAACATTTATACCTCAGAAAAGTTGAAAATATAACAGATATGCCATTGAATTCATTGTCACAACTGAGACACATCCGCACCATTCATATCAGTGGACAGGGAGTGGATAAACAGACATCCGTTAATAATCTTTATAAAAGTTGTAACATTTTTTCAATTAAAATATACTATATTTAACTAATTATTAATTGTTTTTACTAAATTATTATTATAAGATTATCACCGTTTTTAGTTTAACCTATTATATTTTATATTTTACATAATTAACTTATTTGTCAAACTAATTATAACTTATTAAAGTTTATTTCGTTTTTATGACAATTATTATAATATATATCAATATTATGAAGGGTTTTGAAAATTTTAAAAATAAATAACTATTTTTAATCTACAAAACATTAAGTAGAGTTTGCTTAAATTAAATAAAGTATTAAACTTGATTTTATAAATTAGATTTTTAAATAAGTTAAATTAGACTAATAATTAGATTTTAAGTTTTCACTTAAATTAAGGCAATAGTCTCGACACAGAATATTCTGTTAATTTTACATTTACATTTACTGCAATACTGTACTAATGAGACAGCAATGTGTTAATATCATTAGTAATATTCAAAATTATACAGATATCAATATTTGTTATATCGATATTTAAATTAAAAGTGTGTTTTATTCTAACATATAATAAATTAATAGTCAACTTTCATATAAAACATTAATATTCATTGATAATTCAATTGTGTCTCTAATAGTGTAAAAGCATTTGATCTCAAACTTTAGCCAAACAATTAGGAAATGCTTTTTTCAGTGATTTTCGTATACCTTATATAAAAATATTTTTTAAAAATAGTTTTTTCACTACAATTCAATAATTCAGGAAATTATATAATAATTAATTTACAAACATTTTGAATGACTAGAATCGCAAGAATCGTCATTTTATGATGACTTTCAATGATCACAGATTCCCCACAGAATACAGAATTTGAGTCAAATATATATAACATTCAGAAAAGTTGAGAATATTTTATATTTTAATATTTAGTAACAAATTATTAATTAAAAAAATATAAATTAAATAATTAACATTATATTAAACATGTTTTCACAAAGAACACATTTATCAGTTTAATTTATTAAATTTGCATTAAGCATGTACAATTTTTGACCAAATTCATTGAATAAATAAAATTTGGAAATTTTATTTGTAACTTAATTAAAATATTAAACCACACTATTATGTATGCAATAAAATATAGATTTCAATAAACAATTATTTTTAAAATAGTTTTAAACTTTTTCGCAGTCTTTGTGTCATTGAAAGTGGTTTCATATCTCTATTAACAGTTGACAAGAATTGATAGAAAAATAAATTTTCATTGGATTTCAGTCTATTTAATGTTTCGACAAATTCCGTACGACTTATAAGAATATTCCTATCGATAGACCACTCATTATAATTCTGCAACACTTCACTGCATTCCGGCCTATGATTCCAATTCTGTAAAATCATTGTTGATAATAGTTTGTATAATTTTGACACTGGTGAATTTAGAATTTTATTTGGTGAGTATATAAAGGATCTATCATAATAAAAATTACAATTTTAAAAAATTAATTTGGTAATAATACATAATGCTGTACATTACTTTAACTTATTTGGTTCAATGAGTATGACTTTAACATCAAATATTTTACCACCAATTAGTCCAAGACTATAAATATCACATTTATGACCATATTTTTCACCTTGAACCATTTCAGGTGCCATATATCTTACGTCTCCGACATCTTCCGTATGTTTTTTTGTAGTCCTGTAGTGAACGCGTTTGTCGTGAACTGTAGCCAAACCAAAGTCACATAACTTCAAAAACCTGCCTTTCCTTACGTTGTGTTCAATCAATATATTGTCAGGTTTGAGGTCTCTGTGAATGATCTGTGGATTCAATTCATGTAAATATTGAACGCTTTCTAGGATTTGACGGAATATTTCACACGAAATGAAATATTCGTATAAATCCATGGGATCTCCCGCTTGTCGACCAAATACTTGTGGTTTTACTTCAAGAATATTCTGCAGACTATGGGAACAGAACTCCATTTGTATGTAAAGACATCCGGTTTCACGCCATGAGTGGTAATATTGGACCACATATTCAGACTTAACTTTTTCCAAATTCTTTACTTCTTTTAATACAATTTCCGTTTCTTTTTCATCAAAATCTGTGTAAAAATATAGGTCTTAATACAATTTAGATTTCTATTATATATTTATAATTATTATTACCATTAAACTTAATGCATTTGACGGCAAATACCTGTCCATCATATTTGTGTTTCACTCGCAATACTGTCCCAAAACCACCCGATCCTATGACCGACAATTCATCAAATATTTCATCATAATATTTAAAATCAATAAATGTTTTGTATGTAATTTGGCATTCATTAGCGTAGAAATCAATAAAATTATTATAATTTTTTTCAATTAATTGATTTTCACGTATTTCATATAACTTGGTGTTTGTCAACACAACTATGGGTTGATAATGAAAATAGTAACACGAGTCCATTTGTTGTAAATCTATAAAATAATTGCTTGTTTCCAATTGTTCTGGTATCATTACATTAATAGTTTTACCACCGGAATAATAATGTCCACAAAAATATAAGAAACCACTGTTTGATAGAAAATAAGTCATAAATAGTGATGAAGTAATAGTTTTGATATCATTTATAGTAGGTATGAGTTTCGGACTAAATATATTTCCATTCACTATAATGTATCCCAATTGATGGGCACTATTATGACCCCAACTGTACACAAGTCCGTCACAAGTGATGGCAAATGAATGATAATAATTGCAATAAATTGTTTGAATTTTAGGATTATTTGCGAATTTTATTAGAGTTGGTTCACTAATAATATTTATTTGGTCACCACAACCAATCTGTCCCTCACTATTACACCCCCACCCATACACCTGTCCACTGGATGTGAGGGCCAATGAGTGATTGAAACCACAACTGATTTGTCGGACATCTTTGTCGTCGAAATACGATATTCTCTCGGGTTTTAAATAAACCCCTTCTCGTGTCACACGTTTACCCAACTGTCCCCACCTGTTGTGACCCCAACTGTAGACATGATTCACACAATTCATAGCCAACACAAAGTCCTCTCCAATAATAAATATATGAATCATTTGATGACATAATTCTGGTATAAGTTGTGGTGATTGTATGGACTCGTTGTGACCCAATCCAAGACATCCACTAATATTATCCCCCAACCCATACACCATATCATCGGTGGTTATGAACAGTATATTAGATTCATATAACAGTAATTCATCATCCAAAAAATCATATTTAAAAACATGAAATAATTTAATTTCTTGTTTCATATTTAAGTCAATATTATCACAAATTGTAAACTTCTCTAAAATTGAGCACATTTTTCAATTTTTAACAAAACTTTTGTATTAAAAGTATTATCAATCTACTTTATTTATGTTTATCGATAAGCAATTATTCATCACTGTATTTAAATTAATTAGTTTTTAAATACCGTTAGGAATCACATAACCTAGCAAGATATATTATGGATATACTCACACTTTTGTGTATACTATTACAGATACTTTATAATATTTCCAAAATTAATAAAAATAATCGTTTATTAAATTAATTATATTTAAAACTAATTTTATTAATTTACTGAACAGTATTGTAATAAATGAATGGAATTGTTGTTCACAAATAGATTGTGTTATTATAGCAACAGATATGCATTCAATTCACTCGTTGATAGTGTCATAAATACCAACACATTGTATATTATGTGTAATACTTTACTTAACCTTTAAATTGTTAGATAATAAATAAGATATTATTAGAGCTCAGGGAGGTCCAGGAAGGCAGGGATGAGAAAGTGATGGATGACTAGAAGTGAACGGGTTATAGGAACAGTAGGTCATCATCGATGAAGACTTGAATGTCCGCTTAATATCTAAATGAGACGGATATTCAAGTCGTTATCGAGTGCTCCCATTTTCTCATGCATACCCCTTACAAATAGCCTTATCCTTATATAATTCAACTCCCGTTCCCCTTTAAAAAGTCTATAGAATTTTGTAAGTAATTTCTTGTGTTAAAAAATGTTTTTGATTTAATGAATAAAATGTCATTTTTTGCACTACTTTACGATGTTTTAGTGTTTTTATCGAGACTTTTAGTTAAATACTCTGATTTGTAAACTATATTAAATTCAAACGATTCAATGGATTTATTGTTGTGTTTACTATACTGTAATTTATATTTAAGTTTTTTTTATTAATTTGTAATTTGTGCGAAAAGTGGGGGAAAACACCTAAAAAGGTTCAAACGTACGGTATGTAGCGTTAACTGTGACTGCGATAAGCGTTTCACCAAAGTATGCAATTTATTAGGTGAAACAGAAAGTCCGTGGAATAATTCATTTTAATATATCTCCCAAAGTACAAATGACAGAGATTATTGCTATATATCATTCATCGACATATTTACCCCTGCTAAGGGTAATAGGCCTCCAGCGGTCGGGTAGCATCGTTATCCCGTTCGAATCTTTCTTTTTGTTAATTTCCCGAATTACAGCTTCATAGTTGTGGATGAGTTCATCTCTTGTTTGGAACTCCTTTCCCTTGAGTGGAGCTTTTATATGATGAATACCATGCATGTCCGGG